TGCGGTGTATTACCTTTAAATACTGTCGAATATATATCGATGTGTGTAGGGAATATCTTGCGGTTTTATGCAAATAACCAGTGGCGCTGAACTATATGCTTAGGTCAGGCCGCAGCCCGACTACATTTTTAAAATGAGGCCGGGAATCAGAGGGGCCGATCTATGGTTTGCATTTTATTTTCGCCAAGTATGCCGGACGGACTCGGTCGGATCGGTAATATGAACGGATACGTTCAAATGTGAATTATCTAAATTAAAACACATAAAAAATATTTAACGGTGCGGTACGGCGTCTATCGGTACGTGGTCCGACTATTATAGTATGAATCATGTTCTATACTTGTAATTTGAGAGCACAAATTATTTTTCTATGCAAAGTAAAAATGTAGGATTGCGGTCGTTGGGGGTGCTCTTGAAGCTGTTGTATTTTCATTTGCCCTGAGTAAAATTTTAAAAGTTCGGTGCCACTGTTAATAATATATTAACTATAAAATTGTGACAATGTTTACCGTGAGAAAAATAATTTTGCTTAATCTTAACATTATAATCCACGGTTCGAGAGTAATTGGTATAATGAATAATAATATTTTTGTTATACTTTATTTGAACATTATCGCCCGAGTTGTTGATTTTAACTTATAAGCATGAATATTATTAATGTAGATCAATATTTAAATTTCAGAAAACAATACTCGTGGTGCCCACATAGATTAACATAGACAGTATGGAGGTTAAAAACTATTAAAAATATGTAATCAGTAAATCTAAGGTTGGTTTTATAAAATTAAACAATTCTTTCCACAGCATTGATCATACATTTATAACATATTTAGGACGGTAATTATCAGTGCAAATAATGGTCAATTGTATAGTAATTTGTTTTTATTCGCATAACAATATTTTAATTATTTACTGAATTTGTATACTAAAATAACAAAACTCAAGTAATAATCAAAAACTTTTCGCTATATTAACTATAAAACTGATCCAAATGAATTTTCATTACTCGACATTAATAGTATGCGAGTTGCTTGTGATTATATTCAACTTCAATCGTATTTTTCTGGATTTTAATATTCATCGGTTGATTTCCAATAAGATATCGTTTTATTTAAATTAGAAATGATGTTTAATAAAACTTCTAACATTTTAATGGGGTATTTTAATGTGTAGAATACTTTTCTTTATTACTATAGAAATAATAGAAATACTTGAATCGCATTAGATTGAGAAATTTAAATGTATTTAATATGCATCAACCTTGTTCTCCTTCGTTTGAAGTAAACTACCATTTGTTTTGCACTTATACCAACTGGACATTTAATTGAGCGTATTTTATGTATTAATGATTCACTACGTTCAGGGTGTAGATCATTTTATGTGGGAGGAAGTGAAATTCTATATGTATTTTGTGTACAACGTTTTATGTTAATACGAGTAATTATATTATGCACACTGATATTGTTTAATAAACTAAATCGTGTCAGTTGATTTTATTATTTAAAAAAATTTAATTTAGTTTTATTGCTACGAGTAAATAAATAAATAAAAGAATATTTTCGTAATAACTGTTTAATAATATAAAGTATAACAATTATAATTAAGTATTTTATTATTATGTATTATGTGTACAGTTATTTAATACATATTTATTTTAATATTCATTTGTTTTTGGCGAATTTGATGTAAACATAAAATATCACTGAGAATAAAATATATTGGAATTGATAAATTCTTATTAACGTAAAAGGGAACTAGGTTTTAGTTTGAGAACAATCAGTGTAAATAAATGACACATGTGAGTCACCGAATCATCTTCATCCATGTTTTATATTTTTTCCTCAACTCATAATACTTTCTATAATTGATTAAATTTACATAATTATGAATTGAGTATATGGTTTATAATAGTATATTCATAAAGAATCGCTCAAATAAATGCATTAAATTTGATTTTAAAATGATAAATATTCATGTTGATTTTTGTGTTTATGAAATTAAATTTTATCGGGAGTTTCAATGTATATAATCATTAAATAATATTATTTAAAAGATTTTTAATAATACGTAATATTAATATATATTTTATGTATTTTTATTTTATTTGTCAACTGTGTATTCTCCTTTTATGTAGAGTTGAACATGTCCATAATAAATTTTTATTAGATATGTAACCGATGCAACAAATAATTTAAGATATTCTTAAATGGTTGTATATTTCTTAGAATAATGGTTCATAATTATTGTAGAATTAAATAATTAATTACATAAAATTATACAAAATTTAATGTAATTTTGGTAAATTTAGAAAGACTTTTTTGTAAAGTTAATGTCTTAGAAGAAATTTAGTATAATATATACAGTAATTACTGGAGAACGGATTTTAATTTATGATTTTATATTTTATTAAACGTTTGAGTTTATTTTTGATACTAATATCAAAAACAGGTCATAATAGTCTCTAAAAAATCTTGTAAATTTATGAACTATACAATTTTCCCAGTTTGGTGACATTAATTCAATTAACGTACAATTTTTTACGATTATTTGGTTCCGTCAACAAGTAGAATCTTAATCCATCCCTTATGTATTAAATTATGTATTATGTTATTTTAAAATTTTATATTTATACTTTTACTTATAAAACAAACTTTACTTCATAATATTAGGAAATTATGTTATGCAGAATGCTAAACTGAATTTTGTAATTATTTATCTAGTATTCTAAACAATTTATTATTTAAATTTTTTTTTAAATATTTACCCATCATCTCATTGTTATTTACGTTACCGATTTTTAGCTAGTTAATTTTATTGCAGTAATTTAAAATATTATTTTTGTAAAGTGAGTACACTTGTATTAGATATACTAATTTTAAATAAGTAGAATATCGATTTTCCCCTTAATTTCCCCTTATGAAATTATAAAATCAAGCGAAGTATCAAGATTTTATAATGTAACATTTTATGCATTTCTAAAGAACCAAGAAGTTGGTTGTGCACAGTAACTTATATAGGAACTGTATACATTATTAAATGATCATACAACATCATAAATTTATTGAATACATTATCTATTGTCCCGATAAACCTTAATTGAACTTGTATACTGCAACAAGATATTCCTTAATTTGCTTATACGTTATTGAAATATTGCCAGATTAATAAACAAGTTTAATATTCATAGTACTTAATCATGTACAAATGATTACTGATGTTACTGATTTAAAAAATGAGTAGACTCTAAAAATGTTAAATATATTAAAGTTGTTTATATCATTATGAATACATTTATGTTTGAAACTATATACGTATTTTAGAAATAGTTTCTTTGTAATACATACTCAAAACGAATTCGCATTTATTCTACTCAACTACTATGTATGACCTAATCCTTAGTTTTTTTTTTACCTTACCGTTCGTTATTTTATTATTTGCCAATTATTTATTTGTAATATATTATTAATATTATTTATACGTATTATATAATATTTTTAAAATAGGAAATTTGGTAAATTATAGAATTTTATTGCTTAGACATTTATCGTGTGAGAAAAGAACTTCGAATTGCATTCGTAGTAATGTGGTATATATTTACTCATGACTCAAAATAAATATTTATATAAATAAAAATCTTAAAATATTTCGACTTCTGTCGTTTTATGTTAGGACGCTACTATAATTTTTGTTGTTGTTGTCGTGGGGAAAATTGTTATTAAATCGAATAAGCACGGTACATTATCATTTATCCTAATGTTATATTTTTAATGTTTTGATTTCGAAGTACTCGTACAATACGACATTTAATAATTTATACATTTTATTTATACTTTTATTGTAAATTATTTTTGTTCTAAATTTCAAACACCAACACAAACTGACTTTGACAAAATATGATAGGTAGACGAAGGTTTTCTCTACATTACCTTCTGCTTAATATTGGAGAAGCATTTTCTTAATTACACAAAAGCATCACGTACACATATGATCGTCTTTACTTTTTGTAAGGCTTGAAGCTAAATTCGATTGAATAGTAAATCAAGAAGAAAACGATCTTATATTACTTTTTATACTAAGTGTTTAAATTGTGATTGTTTATCTAATCATAATAATATTAATTACTTACTATATTATATATTATAAATTGGTAATCAATTAGTAAAAATATATTTCAATATAATATAAATTTTTCACATTATTGCTATGTCTATTAGTGTTCATGCGCCAATTATTATATATTACACTGTAATGTTTTTTGTAAAGGGTTTATGCCCGTTGATTATTAATATAAATAAATATTTTACCGTCTTAAAATTGAATTAGTTCTTATATTACGTATTATTAACATAAAATAAAAGCTAAACATTTTCTTCGATTACTTGGGAACAAATGATTCAATCACATTACTTGTATGTGAATATTCTATATATTTTTAAACTACGTTTGTTTTGTATGAACGGACAATTTTCCTGTCCGTATTGAAAAATGACTTTTAAAAATTATACGGAGTTTTAATAACGTAATTGAAGGGATCAACAATTTAGTTGCAACGTAACTATAAATTACATTCGTTGCACAGCTATATAGTATTTTCACGGCGTGAGCTAGCAATTTTTTATAACTTCATTAGTATAATATATTATTATCGGTTTTTGTCAAGTAAAATTTCTTTCGTCGCGGACTGTTGAATGTTACATATATGTTGTACGAGGGTACACGTTCACATCCAAAAAATTTTTTTTTAAATATTTAGCCAACCAAAATCGAATTGATATTGTTACCATCGCTTTCATGAGGGGAACAAGTGTGACACTTACTCTTTCTTTCTCCCCCTCTTACCGCCGATCGGGTGTTTTTGAAGCCGGTGAAGTATTTTTTCCCCCGCAATACCACCGACCCTGTGCGCACGCGCGTGCGCTCGTACACATACGTTATTGCTCTCGCACTGTGTCCTTAGCAATTGTTAATATAATAAAAACGTATTGTTTCGTTGTTCGCAGATCGGAACAACATCGTCGGCGGTTCAAACGACAACGGCATAACGGCGGCGGCGGCCACCGGGTTCGAGATGTATTCGTTTTTCGCCAGCACGGCGACTGCCGCTGTCTCTTCGGGCACCGGAACCACCATTTCGGTGGCGCCCTCGTGCGGCGGCGGCGGCGGCGGCGGCGGCGGTGGCGGCGCCTCGTTGCCGCCGCCGCCGCCGCCCTCGCCGCATACTGCTGGCGCGCAGGCGCACTTTACCGGCATCCAGCCGGCCGCCGCCGTCACGCACCAGCAGCAGCAGCAGCAGCAGCAGCAGCAACACCACCACCACCACCACCAGCTCAATCTTCATCATCATCAGCAGCAGCAGCAACAGCAACAACAGCAGCAGTCGGTCTCCGCGGCCATCAATTGTTCCGTGGTGCGCGCTATCGCTGCCGCTGCCTCGTCGCCGTCGACGATCGCAGCCGTTTCGACCGCACAACAGACCGTTGTCGCCGCTACGTCCAACATCGGCAAAAGTAAATTTTTCAACGTTTTCTTTCTCTTTGCATTGTTCACATTTCCGTCTCGCTTAACTGTTTCTCTGTACAACACGCTTTTGGGTGTTTTGTTCCATTTTGTTTAAACGAATATTAACATACGTTTTTACACACGAAAACCGCTAAAAATGTTTTCGGTACGGTTTCGATACTGTATCGTTTGAATCGTTTATCGTTTGCACTATCAACCAGTAGGCTTTTATATTATTATTATTATTATTATTATTACTACTACTGTTGTTGATACAATCATTACTGTTATTACTATTAGTATTATTAGTATTATTATTATTGTACGCGCGCTGTCGTATCCGTAATTTAACGGACGGACAAAATGGCCGACACGGACTTTTGTGACGCGGTGCGCCGACGCCCCGCAGTCGCCGAGTGTCTGTCATGTTTGCCCCCTCGTGTGCGCCCTTTTCGGGCTCGCCCCTTGAACCGTTAATATAATAATGATTCTCCGTCGTCACGGTGTATCCTCTTACAAGTCTTTTCGTTTTCCGTACGCTACACGAATCTCTGTGCTGCGTTTTATTTACGTGTACGACTAATGCGGCTGCCATTCGCGCTAACATTATTTACGGTTAGCGAAAAATCGAAGCGACGAAAAGAGCGATTTGAAACTTATCCATGGCTCGTCTCTGTTACCCGTCGCATGGTCTCGCATAAAGTAATTTTTTAATACCGTCATTTAGTTAATGTGTTGGAAAAACCTTCGGGTTGTATTACGTGTTCGTATTACACGGAGAGATGTGACTTTCCCGGATGATGATGGGTTTCCGTCTTGCTACGGGAATCCGACGCCGTCACTCGCTAGTGGGGTGTTTTGGTCTCCCGAGAGACGAACGATAAGCCTATGCGACGTGCCCCGCGGCGTGTGCTGGGTCTGCGTACATGTGTACACACCGCATTGGTTAATAACGCCACTGCCAGATTCTGTTCTATTTTTGGGGTCGTCCCTCTAGCGTCGTTTGATGAAAAAATCAATAGTCGTCCTTGAATTTGAAAAGAGAACACACGGATAAGCGACTAAAACGAAGGTTGCAGAACGCTATAATACTCTAGAAACGCCTAAAAAAATCCCTCTACGTGGTTCTTGTGATCACACGTTTGGCTTGTATAGTCTTAGAACTTCCTCGTCTATTTACCGTTAGTATTTCTGTTTATTTTCTGTTCACTCAAGTTTTCTAAAATTAATTTTATAAGACATTTAAGATTTTATTTTTTATCTACCATGTATTACGGTCGAGATGTGCACTATACGATTATATATAATTGCACTTACATCATCTAGTTGGCTGTCATTTGCGAATCTCACCATATTTGAATTTCATAGGTGTAAATCGACTATTTTTCTTGATTAGGTTAGGTTAGTAGCCATGGTTGTGTACAGTCGGTTAATATATTATTAATTATTTGTTATAATAAAATAATACAATAATAAAAAATTAAAAACTGTATTTGCTTTCAAATAACGGGACACACACATTTTGGATTTGCATTAAATGTTCAATCGTATCTAAGGAAAGATATATTTTTATCTATTAGTTTATTCATAAATGTAATTTTGAATAAAAAAAAATCTTAAAACAACATTGTTTAGTTTTCCAACGAGTGCGTTTAAAGAAAAAATTCTTGGATTACATTAGAGTTATTTAAAAACAAAATTATTTTTACTTAAAATATAGTTTTTTATGTCAATGAACTTCTATGTGCTGTGATTTGTTAAAATAAGCAGTATTTTCTTGTTTAATCGTTCGTCGTTTGTAAATTAGGAATTACGAAACCGATAAATCTGTCTGAATTGTTGTATTTCAAATTTTTTTTTTCGTCAAATACAACATTATAAACGTATAATATTATCAACACTGATAATTATAATACAAACGTATATTTTTCGACCTGTTTATCGCGCAAAGTTTGCATATATAAGACAACTGCATATTTTACGTGATTAACATATACAATTGTACACTCTTACAATGTATTTCATTTCAATAAATACAATATATTGTATTTGTATATCTTACTCTCCCACTTTTTGCTGTCTAATTTTCGTCGTTTTGTAAACATTTATTCAATGTATTGACGGTATTGTTTTTTATAATTTATTATTATTTTAAAAATACCGCCGCGTTAAAATGTTGATGAAAACGAAAAACATCCGATTTGCTGAACGATGACGTTTGTTTTTATTTTTTTCCGGTGTCCATATAGAGGTCGTTTTTACGCGTAGCAAACAATAAATGAAATTGGATCTCTGTGTACAAGCATATGATACAATGTTATTAATCAATATAATAATGATGTGTTATAGTATTATATTTGTTTACGTTTGTATAATTCAGCCGATAACTTGGGACTCTATTGATACATCCGACCATTTATATTGCATTTAAACGTGTTATCTCTTGGTTTATCAGAATACTGAAAATTACTATCTAATAATACTCTGAGTATCATACCATTTATTCCACTGAACATTCAGTTATATTATATTTACATTTTTTTAACGATGAAATGTTTTTGAATTTGTATACTCGTATACATTTGCTATTCTCAAACAAAATGTATTTACAATAAATGCATTTATATTTGTACGACAATGCTCTTAATGTAGCATGTAGCAGAGGATAATATTTTTGCACTGGCATTTACGCGATTTTTATTGGTAATATTATAAATGCGAGCGAGTGTCGGTTAAGGTCAAGGAAATTGTTGCAACAGCCGGGAAATTGCAGTCTGGGACAGTCCGTAGCTGTTGTGCGTGTGGACACACCTTTGATACTTGTCTGTTCACATATTATTATCAATCGACGAAACAACAATATTATATTAACATTTGTGAGTTAACCATCACGGAAAAATAAAAAATACCGATGACCGCGTACGTTTTTTACGTATGCTTAAGCTTATGTATGTTTTAAGTATTAATCAACTTTAATGGATTTATATTTTTCGCATACGTATATAAATCTTCATAAAATACGCGTTTCTCATACTTGAGGTCGTCATTCCTGTTCGAAATTGATGTTTTTATTCGCCCCTATTCGTGATTTTATTTCTGCTATTATCTTGTCGCATCCTAACTGCTTCCGCAGCGTCGCGCACGAGCGGTTGCCTGCTCGTCAAATTTTGCTGTCTACACGTCGGCTCGTTACTCCGAATTATTTACGTTTCACTCGGCGATTGTGTGTTTCTCTCTCTATCTCTCTCTCTCTCTCTCTCTCTCTCTCTCTCTCTCTCTCTCTCTCTTTTTATTTCTGAATAGTTTACGTATGCACAATCGTGTTTTGTGAAATGCAATCGCCTCGTGACAATAACTCCTGATAAAATGTAACAAATAAAATGTAAACATTATAAAAATGACCGAACTAAATGTGATAAAAAAAAAAAAAAAAAAAATTGTTGCATTATCAATTCAATATGTTTGTATGATTTATATCGCACGAGTGTGTTTTTATCTCTCTTTCTCTCGTCGCAGTATAGCCTAGTATTGGAATTCAACCATGGTATTATGTATTAAAGATACAGAATATTTTTGTACGAGGGATTTTTGAATATTTTGATTGTTAGTGTATCTCGAAAGTGCTATTGTGTAATTGGTACTAAAACGCAGTGGCGTAATTAGGAATTTGGTTTGGAGGGGGGGATTATAGGTTTTAGCAAAATCTGTACACCTCATACAGTTACTCCCCCCACCCCAACAGAACAACATTTTTAATAATTTAAATTTTAATAATAATAATAATAATAATAATAATAATAATAGTAATCGTAATAATAATAATGATAATAATCATACTATCACAATATAATAAATAAAAACAAATACATATAAAAAGTTTTGGGTGGATCCATCCCCCTAATCCCCCCTCTAATTACGCCCCTGCTAAAACATAATTAATTTTAAATTTCTCACCATAAATATAACTCAAATAAGTTGTAGGTTTATCAGTATAATATGTTTATATTTTGCATAGTCTATTTCAGCAGTAGATCTGAAGCTCGTCGGGGTAGCGAATTAGTATTATAAGTGTAATTTAAAAAGCCATCCCCTTCAATTCATCTTTGTGTATACAAATAATTTGACTAAAATATAGTCACCACAGTCATTGTAATTTAACTTGAGTAATGAGAGTTGTAAAAAAAACTAAAAAAAAAAAAATAAATTATACTACTTATTAAACACTTTGCTTACATTTTCATTGATTAAGTATATATTTTTTAAATTTTATTGGCGTAACTATCAATGATTGTATATCAGTCTCTATCATAGATCATACATATGTTTATCTATCTTTATACGGCTAGATATTATAGGACTATTTTGGTAATAAATATTAATACATTTTATAATTGAACCACAGAATACATTTACGTTTGAGATAGAAAAATTTTAAGATACGATAATGTGCCGATTTATTAACAAATTAAAAATAAACCTAGGTAATGAGGGAGGGATCACCTGTTAATTTCACCCCAGGTTTGTTTTATTTTTACATTCAAATTGAACGAATAATGAAATATTTACAAATGTATGCTTTTAAAATTAAACCGAACTACAATACGTTGAGTTCTAGAAATAATCGACTTATCACGGCATGCGTGACAACTGGATATAACACACTATATATAACTATATATAACAACACTTAATATTGTCGGACAATTTCGAAGTCATAATGTTAACGTCATAAGTATTAGTGAAGGAAATTACAAAATATTTATTGTGGTTGTATATATGCCTTAGAGATATCGAGGTCTAGTATTATTTACTCAATACAAATATTTAATCAAAAAATATCCAACTACACTACTTTGATATTTATTTGTGTGTATGTGTTATAAACATTTATACAGAAATTTTATATTTAAATACTTTTGAAATTTTATATTTTCTAGTTATTAAAGTTCAATAAAAAAAAATCCAAGTTGCGATTATATTTTAAATTCTATTCAAAAGTCTGCGAAAATTCAAAATCCGTATGTTTGAAATTCTGTGAAAATAAAATCATTTCTTATAGTCTGAAGCCATCTTTTGGCGGCATTTCCATCAATCCTATGTAATATACAAGGATATATTTAGTGTTTGTGTGTGTGTGTGTGTGTGTGTGTGTGTGTGTGTGTGTGTGTGTGTG